CCCCCCCCCCCAACGTGTTATTTTGGAATTTCGTGGTTGTAAGCCGTTGTACCGGAAAAGTTCACCCAGCAGGAACCCTAGGTGGTGTTTTTAAAAGGCATAAAGCAGTCAACGGGTGGTTGAAAAACAGGCAGCTACAACGTAGGCCAAAGGGATTCCAAAAAATCCCTTTATGATAGGCAAACCGATTGAGGCAGCGGAAACTGGGATATCAGATATTTCGGACCTTCCCCCGCCCACCCTGGACAAGCCCCAAACGGCTGCTGTCTCAATCGTTCAGTTTTTGTCGTGGCGTTTGCAGTAGAAACTTAGCATTTAGGCGTCTCTTCAGAATTGCACTTAAATTCTGCCCTGTTTGCTTTGAACAGAGCGGGGTCGTCACATAGTGACGATCGGTAATCGAACACCGTTGCCGCCCAGACTGACCATTTCTAACTAAGGGTAAAATCGATTGTCGACATCAGCTCATGTCTGAAAATATTCCCGCCCAAAGCCTACATATTGCAAGCCGCTGGATCGATCATCTGATAGATTTTTTGGCCCATTTACCGATAATACAGAGTCCGAAACCTCGCTTCAGCCCTCTGCCCGGCGTTGTGGCAGGGCTGACTGACTACAACGATTGATCTGAAAATGGCAGTTTTAATCTCCCCCCCTTCGTCTGTCAGGAAGTCAGTGTCGGCAAACTCATCCATTAATTATTCATCAGCAATAATAAACTTCACGGTAAGACAGTGTACGGAGGAGAGACAACCATAATCAGTGAAGAGGGGCAGGCGTAAAGTGGCAACTCGAAAGCATGCTTGGATGTTCTTCAGGTACAATCCCAGGACCTAGGCAATTCAGAGGTCCTTCTTCCCTGTCGTCCATCAGCCGACTGTAGTCCCAAATTTGTCCACTTTCCTTCTTGCCTCATACTTTTGCTTAAACTATACCGTCAGTTGCATTGTTTGCGCGCAGTCTCCACTGGCCTCTCTCCTGCTGGCCTACATAATCTGTGGACTAATCATGCAGGAAATATTTATGTCTGTCGTCTCTCCGCATCGCCTCCTCTGCAGCCCAATCAACTCCCAGTACACGCCGGATGGTCGGAGGCGCAGACTACACTTTCGCTCCCGCTGCCGTGCCGGTGGTTGTACCCTGCGAATGTACGTTTTCCAGCCAGGAAGCCGAGATGGCAGCTGGGGCGGTGGTTGACACCCCCCGTGGTCAGGACAAAGCACCTGACGATGTCGCTACTTGGAGGGAACGTCTGCATTGTTTTGACCTTACGGCGGAAATCGCCTCCAGTGCGCCGTCTCCGCTAACAAGAGAGGGCAGGTCAAGGCTAGGGCAGCAGTCTGCCGTTTTAGGAAGTCCAGAGCCCGGCCTGATGGACTAACAGGACAGGCGATCGGCGTTTGAAAGCTCACCTGTGAGAGTAGGCGTTTGTAAGAAGTCCTATCGGGTCGACAGGATGCGTTTACTCGTGGTGCAAACTCTCAGGTGACTTGGTTCCACTGTCCACTTGCTTGCAGGAAGATCAGAATCGCACATTCACACGATGGAATCGGAATGTGGTGACAACTGTATAGCTGCGAAGATCAATAACTGCCTCCATATTTTATAAATTCACTTGCTCAAATAGCTGTAATGTGCAATGGCGTTACCGTAGATGGCATAAAACTAGCTATTGGTTTCTAGCGAGCTCCTCACGCGGTTGTCAGCTCTTAGGAGGATTTCATCCTCTTGTAACTTGAAAATATGGCCGGGTTCCATGGAATGAGCAGCTCGAATCATGGTTCTCAGGCCCGTAATCCATCAACAAGAGCAATGACTTCCCGGTACCGTATACAGTGCTGAGACGTCCCCTGAGCGGCCAAAATAGAACAAATGTGAAAAACACACGTCTCCATCCACTTTCTGCAAACTGGCCATCTGAAACGCCTTTCGTCTTTTAATGCCGACCGACCGACCGTAAAGGGGGACAGCATGGTCTAGCCCCTAAACTCGTTAAATGCAAGGTGGAAACCAACGCCTTAGAAGAAGGTGAAACCCTGAAACGTGAACAGGGTAAATCTTCGCCTGGGATGGAGATTTGCATTTGTCCTCCTGAGCTACTTCACCAAACAACCAACAACCGACTCGTCGCAATGAGACCCAACGACTGGAACTTGTAGCAGCATGGCAACTCACGGGCTGTAGTGTTTAACGCGTCATATAGACCTTGAACACGTCCAGTAGAAAGTCAGAATTCCAGCCTTCCGTTAGACCTGACTGTCGGACAGAGGTGAAGCAGGCGTACTTTCGGAAATACAGTCCATTTTTCCCGCAGCTGTTGTCTACAGGAAGGAGGTGACACAGGCGGGGGTATTTTGCCGTCAGAAGCGACGCGGTCAGGAATCTACCGGTCATTTCGAACAGCGGGCTCAACAACAGACTCATAATGACACCGGAATATGTTACCATCTCCCTCCCCAATGACAAGTCTTGATGACATGAGGAAGGAATTTCCCGCGGGTCTTCAAATCTTTCCTGTATCAGGAATGGACTCGAGGATTCAGTTGGCTGACACCACAACACCTAAGATAGTGAACCTGGTTGTTACGGCGTCATCAGTCCTAACAGGGGCTTCATGTAGCGTAATGGCGTTCCTATGAGCACGGTCTTTTGCTCTCACAATCATGGAAGAAGACATGTATGAACGGAGGCTTTCCTGCTGAAAAGTGCGAAATTTGTTTCCACCAGGAGGTCAGATCGCGAAGACGAGGTGGTACCGAAGGAAATATGCGGTGCGGGACGCTTTGCCGTGTAGCGATGTAGGACTTTACAGGCCGCAGGAAGGTCTAAATGCCTGTCTGTGGAGTTGGCATCTGAGTACCAACCCTCAGTGTGAGACGCTCGGTCCTTGAGGCTTTACGACTGTTACAACTCGTCAGGGCAACAATTTATCATCGTTTGACGCAACTCCCGAACCGATGCTGCCCACTGGACCTCCTCAAATTTTAGAAAATATGCAAGGATCCGACGCAGCATCTTATTTGTACCTCCAATTTGCACTCAATCACGTTGTCTGAACTAGACTTGGGAGCTATACTTTACAGTTTACATTTTTTCAAATTTTTTCATAGTCAATGTTTCAGTCACGACCTTGAGCGTCTGGCTTTGTCGGACAGCTATTTTCTTCGACGTGTCGTAGGGTCCTCGTTAACTCGTAGGCTGCAGGCCATCATACCGTCCGTCGGTCTTGTTGGGAGCAAGTGACTATTTGTTATCTTTGAGGAGTATTCCTGATGCGCCAGCAATCGAGACCACCGCGTCGCGTGAACCAGGCATCCGTCCGGTCTGTGCTTCTCTATGGTTGTGAATGCTGGGCTATGCGTGTGGGAAGCGAGAAAAAACTGGAGGTGCATGACCACCACTGCTTGAGGACCATCCCTCGAGTGAAGTACACCGACCCCGTTCCAAATGAAACAGTCCGTAATCACCGCGGCAACATCGCACGGATAACCCAGGCCATCCAAGAGGGACGAATGAGGTGGTTTGAGTATGTTCTTCGTCGTCTACCTCAGGTGCTCAGTGTTACTGCCCTCGATTCGGCACCATTGCACCCCGTCAGAGGCGCGAAGTGGGGGTCAAATCAAAGCCTGGTTTGGCACAGTTTGTAAAGACAAGGTAGTGGTCTTGGACCTTCGGTATTCGATCTACGTCGTTGGCGAAGAGAATGACTTGAAGTGTCTAGATCTGTTGCCGCGGATCATCACGCCTGTCCGGGACATCGTTAAGGCCAGCCAGATCAGGCATGGACATAGCCGACCCACGTACAAGGAAGTACAAGTCATGCACAGCCGGATGTGCAGGTCCCTAATTAAACACACACTGAACCCTAAAAAGTGGGTCTCGATTTCACATCACCTAAGACTGTCTTTAGGGCCACAGGCCAACTCCCGTTTCAAAGGGAGATCGATTTATTCCATTGGTTGACGGCCACTCACGCTATATATATATATATATATATATATATAAATGCATTTTGATAGCTTAAGTGACATACTGACCTCATACCCTCTTTCCCCACACATACTGACTGCGAGTCCGAACGTCGCCAATCGATCGACGAGCCAATGAGGGTGAAGGAAAAAAAATCGTCTTCACGGCGACTTAGCGCTTGCCCCAATAGGCTGAGTCTGACGCCAAGATCTTCCAGCAGGTGGTCGACAACCACTGGGGGCTGAATGTGGAGTCAATAAAAATTGCCCAGGACGCCACCGGCCTTGCGTTGCAAGATGATGTTTATTTTCTTAGACGACAGTACTGATAATGTCCTCTTCCATGTTATCCCAGACAGTCTGAATCTACAACCGGAACAAGGATGTCATCGGAGTTCCTCTGACATCCACATCGTGCTAACACAGTCATGCTGGCGAGGTGTAGTAAAAAAAGGATGAGAAACATCCTCACGTTTCCGCTATCTAGGTAACTTGTCGACTACGCGTCTATCATGACTGCCTGTCACGCATCCACTTCGTCAAGGATGTAAGGAAACAATCAGTGAAGTGTGCCTACCTGTTGTCTCCCGAGGTAGGAATATTTAAAAATCCAAAATTCAGAAAACTGCAGAAAATGGGGGTGGGGGGGTGAGAAAGAAGTAAGACTTGTTAAAATATTCAATTCGGAATCTTAGTATTATCAATATTAAATGATAGTCCCCATCATCATCATTATCAACATCGTCATCGTCCTCAGTTTTAACGGAGAAAAATATTGGAACATGATGGAAGAAGATGTAAGTAAAATATTTGTGAAAGGCGGGGTAAAACAACAATCGGCCGAGGAGGCATCATCAATAACAACGCTAATAAGAGAATCTAAACTGGAGAAAAAAAGGAAAGAGCCGGGTCGAAATAGTATCTTAGAGATGGGTGTGGAAGAAAGCGGTCTCTACGGGAGACGGGGAATCAATCAAAGTAATGGGGAGATGTGTATCTTTTCGGTGACCTTTTCAGCAGAAAGCAGGGTCACTACGTCCTATTTCGACGGATGTTCTCGACTTCTCGCTGCCAGAAACGGTACATGTGCCAGTAGCGGTCGCTAAAAAGAGACAGTTAAAAAGGGTAAGGAGACAAATCTGACAATTTATCTAGACAGTAATGAAACAGTGCATAAATCAAACAAAACTTAAGGGTCAATCTGCCGGAACATTAAGAACAATTTAAGAAAGTTATTAAAAAGCTACGGCCTTTAAAAAACTGATTACGGAAACCAAGACCCAACGAAAATAACAATCATGGTCAGACGTTGCTCTGATCTACCAGATCGTTTGTTTGTCACCCGTCTAAGCATACAGGTACACCAAAATCTATGAAACACCTGTGCACGTTGTCATTATCCTGGTTCACTTATCGTACACTCTCGCGTGGAGACCAATCCTGCTCTTGATAGCTTTTTGTTCTAAATGGCTTATTCTTCACCCATTATAGTCGCAAATGCTCCCAATAGGGTCACGGCGAGGTATAGTATCGTATCTGAAAGTGGGTGAGTTAGATTAGAGTCTTAAGGGAGGATGTTATGTCATGTGGACTTAAAAAGAGGCAAAGAGGATTTTGCATCGGAACAGGAAACAGTTGAATGTAGAACATCCTGTTAAACGACAAAAGGTCAGTTTTTCGCTCCAGTAGACAGAAGATGACTCAGCTACTTGTTACTGAAAAAAAATGAAAACTTAGGACTTGTTTATTGACTAAAAGCATCAATTCACATTCATCCGTCTAATTGGTCAATGAGTCAGAGTGTTTCTGTTTAAACTACTTTATAGCTTCTTGGATTCTCTGCCAAGGCTAAATGTTCAAACCTTGTTCATTGATTTGGGCGAGCGGAATTATGTTTAATAGGTTCTCTCTTTATTAAAATAATAAAGTCGTGGATTTAGGGATCAGATTTACAGTCTTTTGCCCTATACACAAAGTGTGTGTTTTTCTCCTTTTAAGACGTGAAAGGACTTTGAGGAAAAATGATCTAGCTTCTAATAAACTAATATGGTCCTTTATAATATTTCGCTGAATAACAGGTTTTTCCTAAAGCAAGTGTGAGAAAATGCAAAAACATTTGAGGCCCGTCCCACCAATTGCAATGCTGAGCCTTACGGCTTACCTGAAATTGACTTAATTAAAAGATACCGAGGATGGAGACAATGGGCGTCACCGCATAATCTTTTATCAGTTAAGAATCCCGTACTGGCGGAAAAAACTCTGACAGCCGTTAGGCTTTAGAATTAGATACATCCTGAATATTCATTTTATTAAACCGCGTGCACAAAAGGCATCAGCTGGAAGCCGCTGCAGCGCTAATTTAGAGAGTTACTGAAATATATATGTAAAATTGATGCAAAGTTCTTTGCTTTGGTTGAAACACATAGACGGACGAAATTTTGCAACAGACTCATTATGCTAAAAAACTAGGTTAAATGCAACATTCACTGACAAAACTAAGAACACCACAGAGATAAGGAAATAACTGAACAAACCTTCGTTCCTGGGCCGCTTTTAATTCCTTCTCAGTAAGATCACTAGAGGGTGTCACTTTGCGGACCTAAATGTGAGGTAATGTGAATGTTAGTAATGTTGGATTAGTTGACTGCGTTTTAGGACACCGTTAATATTTTCGAAAAAAGGAATTTATATGTTCGTAAGGTACGCCATCAGACCAACTAGATTTTTAGGCATGTCTTTTCGAAACCAGTCAGGATTAGAAAATTTTTTGCGTTGATTCAACTTCCTAGCATGTTGGTATTGGAGTCGGCGCCTTTTAGATCACCTAACAAATTTAAAGCTGTACACCCCGATACATTCGAGAAAATGACAGAGTCGAGTTCCACATATTACGAAAGCGGACGACCATCTGCAGTTGAGTGATTATGCAGCAAGTATTGCTAATTTTACTTTATAGAACGACAACCAAAGAACTTGACTGGATTATTTATAACAATACTCTCTATTAACGCGAAAAGGAAGAAGCAAACGCTTTTGAGTTTACAAATTTTGGAGCTCCTGACATATAAATATAGACATGGCTTTCTGAAATAAAAGAAAGTTTGTCTGAAAGGTTAAGTAATCACCCAACAAAAATCAAAGATTATGAGAGCATATTTTGAAAGACTTACACAGCAGCAGTCTGCCGGGCACCGACAACAAGCTAAAATGTTATTTTGCAAAAGTTACCACGTTCGATAACAAAGAAAGTAAAATATTCAGAAATAAAAGATTTCTAGGTATTTGTCTGCATATAAAGTGTCGTAGTTACGTTTATTACGGCATTTTGGAAGTACATATACGAGTAGAGCTGAATTTAAATGCATGATTTATTTGACATTTGTCGGCAAGCTACTATATAAATTTAACTCGGTTTTTGTAATATATAGCTCGTTATAAATACTAAATTTTTCAAAGGAAAGATAAAAAAGCTTTTACGTACGAAGAATCGATGTAGTGGGTCTTCCTAAAGGAGATTTAGATGGACTACGGCTATCCACAAATCCTGGCACTGTGTTAAAACAGTTCTATAAGGCAAAAACATAACAATCAAAATTATTCATGATTTTATTATTTCTCTGACCAAAGATTGCCTGAAAAACAATGAGGAAGTTTAAAGCAGTCCAGTAGGTGGATTTTCCTTAAGTAGATTTCAAAATACATATACATATGAGCAGGAGGAAATCATCCATACGTACGCGGCAACTGTTCATCTGCCAAGTATTGCTCTCATGCCAAAGCTCTTTCATGTCTACTTCATAAATGTAAGAGATACGCACACTTTTGGTCCCAAAAAACACATTTAGAACATCAGCTAGGTTAAGTTCTGCAAATTTCGAGACGTTTTTTAAACGAAAGGAAGGTTCCCTCGCTCAGCCGTTCATCAAAGTATAAAGTGCTAAGGCAACTTACCACGTGCCTGGATGGATTTTTTCCTGTCAGAGTGGAAGTTGTATTGGTTGATTTTAGTGCACTCGTAAACGTTGGCCTTGCGTAATTAGATGAAGACCTGGCCATAATAAATAAAATTTGGGACTTGCTTGTGATTGCAGCAGCAGCGCCCGTCTGTATGCTAAAGTAGTTATTGCTTAAGTAATAAATGGGCATACGCAGGTGGGTGGAGGACTTGGAACATATGGAACAATTTTAGTGCTCGTTGAAAATTCTAATCTTGGTGACGATGACTAAGTCCAGACTGAGTAATTGTCACGCGTCTTACCTTGTTCGATCGCATTAGGAGTTCACGATTGGTACCTAAGGTGCTGCAAAAAACTGGACATGGGTCAAACAAATCCCGAGCGTTCCCGTCAAAATAAGCCAGTAATGTTCCACCTCGATGGCAGTCCGTTACCTGTCGCAGTTCGATGGTGACTGGCATATCTATGTGCAAGCTAATATTTTATAAGACTACATGCCTTCCAGTTTTCGACAAAGTTCATAAGAAGAGCTAACATCGTAAAAGACCTATTCACCTAAGCAAAGAGGAAGTTGACCAAGGTACCTTTTCAAATGCAAATATTTCGTGGACTTCCAGTGGAAAAGTTGGTTCGCTTAGTTTTGATAATTTAACCGTATCGAAAATATTTATGAACACACAAACATCGTCGCGATAATTGAGATATGTATCGACAGGAAATAACTGGAAAATAGAAAATTAACTTCAAATACCTTTTTAAGAATAAGCGTTCCTTCGAATTTTAATGCAGGCATTATTTACTTTTTTGGAATGATCTTTAACTGGGTTCTCGTGCACTGTGCTCCATTTAAATAGTGCAATATTTAATTCAATCATTACTATGGCGGTCAAAGACAGTGAACTAGTAAAACATATATCGAGTAATTGCATAATCTACAAAACTTTCACCGAAATAAAAGACAAAAAGCGCAGCACGAAAAAAGCGTTCACCGGACGCATAAATTTATCATTTTTTGCGAGCTCGTGTTGCAAATATCTGCAAACGTTGACTTGAATGTGAAGCACAACTCTCAGATATTGAAGCCTCTGGTACTTAAGTTGAAAGGAGAATGCTGTGATGTATAACTACGAAACCTTACGAGGGAAATGAAAACGACAGAATTTATCCTGCCCTATTCGTGGCATAAAAACAGCCTAAGCCCGAAAAAAACATTTATCGGGGTTCTTTTTTGAGTGTATTTGTTATGGTAATCTTTCAGCAACATGTATGGACGATACACCTCACTCATGCATATAGACTTGCTGGAGACGTCTGGAAAATAACTAAGGAATCGTAATCGTTTTCTTTGGAATTTTAGGTCTCCAAAATCGGATTCTCCCTCCAAATTTTTGGAAAGCACCTGCATTAAGTAACATATCGATAAAATACGACAAAAACTATTATAAAACAGAAATATTCAAATACGATCCCTTAGTCTTCCTGATTATGAAATTCACGAACAGGCACCCAATTGCCAGGTCGAAGTCGACCAAGCTATAATAGCATTCTTTGTCGGGAAGCCAGTAGTTCGTTGTGCGCCTATTCCTGGTTGAATAAGTACCTGATCTACGGAGACAGAGAATGTAGCGTGACGAGCACGGGCGAACGTCGTTTGGGTAAAGTCCCAACGACCTTCCTCATAGATCTCGTCTGTGAATCATTCGCACCGTGTACGAGCACACGGCTGTTCTTTCGGTCCCTGGTGCTGGTCAGGTCTATGAGTCGCTGAATGAACCCGAATTACTAATGTATCAATCTACCCGAATTCGCTGTTGCCCCTCCCTTCTGCTACTAAGACTACCAATATTATAACACGGACTAATTAGCCATAATATTTAGCACCTTCATCTGTATCCAGGAATATGAAAAATATACGTGATTTTTTGCCCTTATGCCGCACATACGAACTCGTTTATTTGGTACCCGAATGTTCAGAATAAGGTTATGGACAGTCTGTTGCCAAAACACTTAGCTTCTTTTGCAAACAAAAGGAATTTCACAGTAATCAACAGCTATATCTCGCGAATACCAAGGATACAAATGTTCGCTGTCACGTATGTTTTCAGGGTGCCAAGTAGGACCCAGCACTTGGAACACAAAAAAACACGGGTTGCTAGAACTTCTTTCGAGCGCCGACTGAAAGCAGAATCCATTACACGTACCAAGAAGTTTTATGGGTACATCCACAGTAGGAGAGAACATAGGGAAGAAATTGCGTGTCTAAAGGATAGCTTTGGAAAGTTATTAGTTGAAGAGCCACAGAGAGTGCAATTACTATCTTAGTTTTTTGACCGGTTTTTACAGAGGAGACCTCAGAATACAATCAATACTTTTAAATAGATCAAAGCAGCTGTCATCTTCAAATGCGCCAAGATATTGCCGTCATTGAAACCGCTTCTGTTCCGTCGAAGAAGTAAGACGTGTCCTCAGTCAAATAAATAAGTCTGCTGTACTCGACGCGATTCCTGGGCTGATACTTAAGGAGTTGTAAAACTAACTGGCCTCTCCGTTATCCAGAATATTCAGAACTTCGATGGAGACGGAGGCCCTGCCTACCGAATGGAAGAAAGCAAACATAAGCCCTATGTATTAAGGTGGCGTGAGAACAGCCCCAAATAGTATCAATGGGGAGCTTGACGAAATCAGTCGACATGGGTTTATCAGTCGATGCCGTGTACATTGACTTCAGAAGGGCTTTTGACAGTGTTACACACAAAAGACTTATAGTTAAGCTACGTCAAATGGGCGTGAGTGGAAATGTGCTGAAATTGTTAGCCACGTTCCTCACGGGCGGACCTCAGCGTGTGTGTATCGGAAACGCCAAATCGGAATGGGCATCCGTCCACAGTGTCCTTTTGCAGGGGAGCGTTTTGGGTCCAACTCTGTTCTTAATATATGTAAACGAGTGCCTGGACTGTCTGAACTGCGAGCATGTAATGTTTGCCGACGATCTCAAATTGTGGAAATCAATACGGAACCCGGAATACTCTGTACATTTACAAGACAATCTGAATCGATTGTAACAATGGTGTGATGAGTGGTGTCTTACCCTCAATCGCAACAAGTGCCAACTTATCCGATTACGATCTAGCAACAGGAGGCCGTTTAGATTTGAATCTCAGTACTTTATAGGAGGTCGCCAACACGAATCAGTCAACGAGATAAGAGACCTCGGTGTGTGGATGAAGTCAACTCTCAAACAATCGTCTCACTGCGCCAAGGTATCCAAGAAAGCTATGGGTATCAGGGGCGCGATTAGAAGATCCTTCCGTAATTTTGACGAAGAACTTTGCGGCCGAGTATTTGGAGCATTCGTTTGACCAATGTTGGAATATTGTGTTCAGGCATGGTGTCCTTGAAGGAGACACGATTGCACCTTACTGAAGAACGTACAACGAAAACCGACCAAGCTGGTCGGCGGATTTAGAAGCTTACCTTATGAGAGACACCTGGAAAAACTAAAAGTATTTCATCTCTTGTAGACAATACAGAGGGGAAATGATCATGACCATCACGATCGTCCGAGGGCTAGACTGTGCTCTTCAGTTTGACGATTTCTTCGAACTGGCGCGGCGACAAATCTTCGAGGGCAGCAATATAAATTGAAGACGTAATAGGCCAAACTCGAATTGCGGGCCAAATTCTTCTCTCACTGGCTGGTTGACGGATGGAACAAATTGCGAACTCCGTTGTCTTAGGGGAGAACTTTGAGATCATCAAAAGAAGACCGGTTGGTCGGAAACAAAGTGTCTGTATTGGAGATGATATGGCAGAATGGGTGAACGCTATTAGTGGTACGCCTCAGGTCTCAGTTCTGGGACCATTTATCTTCATCCCTCATGTTCGTTACAGCCTTTAGGAATTCGATTGCGGCAAAATAATGTTTTCCGACGACGTTGAGCTCTGGCAAGTCATTAAGGGTTCAAATGATCAGAGTTCCCTTCAAAATAATCTGTATCGGCTGCAAGCGTGTTCAGAGAAATGGCTTCTAGATTTCAATGCGGTGAAGTGTGCCGTCCTTCATCTGCGTGCAACATACTTTCATTCAAATGAGAGACTGAGGACATATCAACTGAAAGATATAAGGCCCCCGCAGAATCTTCACTGAAGGATCTCGGTGTTTGGATACAGAAGGTCATGAAACCAGGACTGCAGTGCAACAGGGCTACAAAAATCGCCATGGGGGTGCTGCATGCCATCAAGAGAGCGTTCCTAACCTTTGACAAAGGTCTTTTTGGGAGAGTTTACGGCGCCTTTGTCTGATCCCATTTAGAATATGGCGTACAAGCATGGCGGCCATGGCTAATAAAGGACCAAACATGCTTTGATACAATACAACATTGTACAACGAAGCTGGTGAACGGTTTAAAAAGCCAATCGTACACAGACTGACGGAATTGCCTTAATTTATGCCCTTTGTGTTACAGAAAGCAAAGAGGTGATCGTATCTTGGCTTAGAAGATAATGCGTGGCCTTGAGCATGGATTACGCTTTGAGAACATGTTACAGTGTCACCTTTCACCCAATCTTCGTGGTCACTCGATGAAGCTACGGAGAAAAATGTCCAGGCTGAGTCTTCGTTCCGAATATTTTGAACAGATGGTTGTGGAGAAATGGAACGATCTCCCTCAGGCAGAGGTGGATGTGATTCCCTGCGACTCTTCAGGAGATGCTGGGATGATTATTTGTGTCCCCGTTTTCCCTCGACAGTCTGAGCCTGAGCTAAATACCTCGTAATCCCGGATATGTGTTCCTCTGAAACAATGCCACTCAAATGAATCAAGTACTGTTTTAATAGCGAATATTTTCATTGTTCGTGTACAGGTGTATCTAACGAGCCGACGTGTAATTAATAAGGTTTTGAAAGGCTTTGCCTATTATTCTTACTAAATAAATTAAAAAACTGACTTCAAATTGGCATACACATAAATATGGCATGGTAGCTCTTAGTTCCGTAGGGGTGTCCCGTCCTTGTATCAGAAATCTTCCGAAAACGGTTTTACTTTAAATGGAAACAAAACATCGATTGGCACACTAAATTCTATTGAATATTTTACCGGTCAAAACAAGCTAACGCAAGCGAGATTAGGTCTCATCTATCATTGGCATGAGCTGGGTTTTGCCTAGGCAGGCTAAAAGTTCCAAGAGACGTTGGATCTAATTAAAATTACTGTAAACACCCACCAAACTTCCTGGTTGATATCTCATTTAGATACAAGTATCAAGAGCTCAACCCATACCTGCAGACTCCACTGTATGCATACACAAGCATATTTATCTGCGTCAGCAGCTCATCACTCAGTCCTTTGAACAACTCAAAGCCTCTAGGAGCACACATTTTTTGCAAAAAGTGTCTGTCCCCTGTCCAACCTCATAAGCACTGACCTAATTAACGGAAGATGGACAATCAGAAAAATAGGTCAATTAGAGTTTTTTTGTAGAAAGGCACACCCAGTCAAAATCGTTCTTCAGTAATCGGGCGGCGGAGTTCCAAATTGAGTGCTTCTCCTCGGCGACTACAGTCGCCTTGTCCGCAGTGTCATTGCTGTTGGAACACATACCACTATCTGCATACAATCTTAACCAGGTTGCCGAACTGCCCACCCTTTCTTCCTGTCTTCTTAACTTCAAATTCCCTGACTTGTAAAAAATCCGAGATTTCTAATGCAAGCATATTTTTACGAGACCAGACAGGGACATTCAGTCTCTATTTCCCGTCGACAGGCAAAGGCTGATTGACTTTATTCGTCCCCCAGTTGCGTCTCCTCAACCTTTTCATTCTAAACGCTGGGGTCATACTTCATAAGGTGCCTTCACCTCAAATACTGATATCTGCACACTGCCAGACATTCATCATATAAGTGAGATACGTTTAATGCATTCCGTAGCTGCCTCCAAGACCTTCCTATTTGGTAACACGCACACTACACATTATTACTAGGAAAGCCTTGGCGGGGGGGCGACATTTATGCGGGGCAGGGACTTGCATGTCGCCCACTAAACGTCGCAGGTCTTTCTTTGGTAAAATGCGGTTTTCGACTTCAAATATCAATGTTAAATGAATAGTAATTATTCGATGATTGTGTTTATCATCGCCCTCTCTTAACATCAATGAGTATTTGGCGTTTTTTCGCAGAGGCGCCCTATAATTCCGTCGCTAATGTCTTGAAGTGAAAAGAGATTTCGGGGAATTTTATTTGCATTCTCCTGCTGGCTACCCACTCCCAACCATAGAATGCTAAAGAGTTTTCTTATATCTTAAAGGTAGAAAAGGGGATTCAGACAGCTGATTATCTTATTCGATGATCGAACGTAGTTTACCTCATTTTTATGTGAGCACAGTATAATAGCAAGTGTATTTTAAACATCTGAGGGAAAATGGCCGCTGAAAGTGATAAATTCCACAAAAACATTGGTCGAGAAAACGTGTGCGATAGACATGCAGTATGTAAGCAGTGATAACTGGTATATCAAGCGTCCGGCTCTCAGTATTTTTAGAAATGGCGAGCAAAGAAGCAAGCCGTTCACAGTATGAGGGGGAATTGTTTGGAAAAATTATCACGTAAGACGTTAAGCGGTGCCGGCACTCAAAAACTACTCTAAATTTAAAAAAACCTACTAGTTAAATCAAATTCCATTCCGAAAGACATGACACTTAAGTTCCGAAAACTTGCTTGCTTGAGAAAGTGTCGTTATTAGGATCGTGCCTTGACGTAAGCCATATAGAATCCAGCATGATAAGTGAGAGCAAAAGATACCTTTTGTATGCGTTGGATAAGTTTGGTTAAACCATGGAACGTCTTCCCTGCAAATGTTGCGATGTCGTCATCAATGATCTAATTTAACGGCGGCCTTGACAGATTTGTGATCTGAAATGAGTCGGAGTCGCAGATTAAATTCTGCGTTTGATACTGACGCTCAAATTTTCACGATCTCCACCAAACTATTTTAACCCTGAACTCTAGATTGACTTTAGCTTTGCAAATAGGATGCTTAAAGACACAAGCCTGTTTCCCTCAATAAACTGAACTGAATTGAGAAACCTAACAGAGTTGAGCATTAGCCATCGGATGCTTAGCCACTCCAAGTTTGAGCTAAAGTTGGTTTAATTTCCACGAATTTGATAATGCGGCAACCCGAATGATGTATACTTGTCTGGAAGACGAACGATTTGCTAACAGCTAGAGGTCCAACTCATCGTTTTACTGTCCCATGATCGTGACTAAGGACCACCAGTCTTAGTGTCGTATAGGCTGTGGACGGTTTTAGGAATCTCTCGCATCCAGACGGACTAAGGTAACTTGATTTATTTTCGCTTACAAGAAACTAAATCATAACCATTTTTGCACAGACCTCGACCAGGGTTGCTCACATAATCCGGAGAACCTCTTCGAACCTGCAAAAGCAAATTTCATAAGCGCTAATCTGTAGTCGAAATATGGAGTAGTTGTGAAGATTCAAAGTCCTTTTCCCGTGAATGCTCATGTAAAACATGAAAATTGTTGACATTTGAGATGTTGACAGCAGAAATACTTGGCGTGCGCTTTTTAAAATAAAGATTTCTTTTCATAATAAAAGTTAACTACAGTCAACTTTAAATGGCCAAGAGAAGTACATGAAATTTAGATATTTTTAGGGGAGTTATTGTTATTTTAATCTAAAGTGCTTCGAGATAGAGTCGGGAGTCGAGATCTTTCTGCTTTGAAAGGCGTCAGTTGGGATAATTCTGGTACGTGATCTATATGCTCAGGTATCCGGGAGAAAAGAAGACTGCTTAGTTCAGCATCATTTCAGCAATATAAATGTAAAAGCGAACATATAGAAGAGCTATCCTTATTATAAAAACGAGCTATGGCGATTTCACGATAAAATGCTGGTGGGTTTTTTTCGGAGGACCAGAAAGTTAATGGACTTAGAGACTGGAAAATCTGAGTCTAGGATGCTCAGAGGCAATGGTTTGTAGATTTATTGGCAAATTTGTTTTATAGTCAGTCCTATTTCTTTGTTTCTCTTCAACTTCGAATCTCATCCCATCTTAGCGAAGATTCGCCACGAACGTACGCTTCGGAAACAATACTACTTTAGTTTTGTGAATACAATATAAATCGTTACAATTTTTACAATGTACGTGCAGTTGTCTACGACACGAAAACATTTAGACAGGAGTTTCGAAGTATTTGGTTGCTACCTGTAAAAAACTAACTGCTACAGACTAAAAGCTCCGCTTAAGGATGGAAGCAAAAACGGAGGGGTGTAGATTTTCTCGTCAGGAAAACCCTATAAATCTGCCGGAAAGCTATAAAATGCTGCTCATTCTAGGGACTCACGATGCACTTTTATTGGTACAGGCACAGTTTCTGTTTGCCAACTTAGGTTTCGCCCGAACTGGAATCTCTTCTTGGAATACCAAGTTTTGGATATTTCTAAACCGAGTTTGAGATGCGTAGAGCAGGACATATCTCTAACTCTAACTTTTCACTTGTGTACACCATTTCCAGTTGGGCTGGGCATGTGCTACCTTACGAACGCTACCTGGGCGGACAAACACACCAAGTAGCTGAAAACGACCACCAGCTGCGTGGAAATTCACCGCTGCATCCGGCTTTTGGCGTTCCGGCATATGCAGTGAACCATATAGGCTCACGGTTACCTAAAGGCGCAAATTGACACACTCAAACAGAACTGACCCCCACCCCGCAATGGCTTTGGCTGCGTGGCAGACTCGCCATCCTTTGGTAGTGAATGACAGCAAATGTCGTTGCATAATTTAAATCCTAAACAGTCTCATCCTAATGGTGACTCCATTTCTTAGTTTACGCTTCCTGGGAGGCGTACTTTGCCATTATCGGATGACATTTTTGCTGAAATCTCGTAATCCTCGCCTAAAGATAATATAGCGCGAAAAAATGTTATCCAAGACCATATTCCGCGGACATCCTTGCAAACAATGAAGAGGAGAATGTCCCGTACAAACTGTTCGCCGAACAACAAACGAACAAGACCCGAGAACATAGAGCCACGATGAATACTCTAGCATCACCGGAACCAACCCTGACTACTCCACCGTCACAGTCGAGGCATTGTTGGTATGAAGTAATGTGTTCAGCCCACTGCGTCTTGGGGCTCAGACTGGAGTCTTCGCAGACAGCCCCCCCCCGAGCGACCGAAAATATATACAGGTAGGAGTTACTAAAAACAGAAACAGGTGGCCTCCTAACGACGCATTATACCTCCGGGATCAGGCATCATCCGACACGAGAATCGTCTTCGTCACCGTGGCAGAACTGAGTAGGGTAACTAGGCAATTGATTTAGACTAATTTTGCAAGCTGGAGCTATTTACAGACACTGGCAACTGATATTGATACCTCGTGCGTGACACCAAAAATAACATAATATGGAAGATGGAATCTAAGCGTGGCGTCCGTGGCTAAAAAAGACTATAAGTTGCTAGAAGGAGTTCAGAGAAGAGCGAAAAAAATTTTGAAAGGCCTCAAGACTGTACGTTACAAATGCAGACTTAGTGAACTATTTCCTCTTGAATACGGGCAGATTCATGGAGATCTCCTGCAGGCGCATCGGATATTGAGAAACCGGGACTGTGCCCTAAACCTCGACGATTTCTTCGTCCAAGCCACAACAGCAAACCTGCGTGGGAACCCTCTAAAACTTAGAGGATCCCGATGCCGCCTGGACTTTCGCAGATTCTTTTTTCACAGCGAGTCGTCGGTGCCTGGAACGGGCTTCTCGAGGACGCGATAATGGCGGATTCTCAAGAGACATTCACGCAAAGACTAGATGTATATTTTCTTGAAAAATATCGCTTGTCTGGACATAACAGCTCTGTTGTGCCAAACCAACGCCTTCCATACAACTAGCACTAGTGCGGATGATTGTCATTTCATTTTACCGATATCGTCTACATCTAAATGTATATTACTGACATTATTTTAGTACCATGTTTATTTAACTTTAGATATTTCATATACAGCTTTCGAGAGGGTTTTCAAAGGCATTGCCTATTACCCTTAAAGTATACTGACCTATAAAAACAACGAAACACTGATTGCATACCATTTCGTCGCTTTGATTGAGTGCTTATTATCCGCTGCTAATTGCGGGTCTGCTCATTTCGCATAAATACTTTTATTCCAGTTGATTGCTAGGCATTGACTTGCGAAAATCTCCTGCACCTTACATAAACGTATGAGCCTTGACTTGGCTCCCAACGTCTGTACCAACAGTGCCAAATTTGTTAAATTTGTGCGACTCATAGTGGGCCGATAATGGTTTGCTTTAAATGAGCATAAGAGCAGTACTTTTTGATTTCTTTAAGGACAGACAAGGATGACCACGATCGCCAGGGTGGATGATCCGTTGCTCGTCCCCCTCCCATGAAGCAACGGGCAACTCTACACCACCTGTGGTCTTTCCCCTCCCCCCCCCACAGCAGCCAAAAAATCTGCGTCTGCCGACCTCTTCCTCATAAACCAGCGTACGCCTTCTGGCCTATCATCTATCGACGTGCAATTGTGGACATCGCGAAGTTTCCCAAATCAAAAGCCAGCGAAGGCAGATTTATTTGGACAAACATTACTGATGCCGGAGAGCGTACAGGCGGTCTAGCCGGCAATGCCAGCAATTGTACTTACCAGCCGCGTGCTAACCTTTCGAGGTCGTAAATTTCGGCATGGGGATATGCCTGTACCTGGGTTTTACTAAACTCTGGTCGGTCGATGAAAACACACAAAAAAATACAGATTCGCGTTACGGGGTCGAACAGCTGAAGGCCGAATCACACGCTCATAACGATTAATAAACTTTATGCTAAATGAAAGTCAGTAGAGGCAAGGCCAAAAGATTGTTAACAAACGGAATAGTTAGTTTTTAGACAAAAACGCGCACAAATAAATGGTATGGCAAAATGGTTGCCACGCGCCTTCCAGGCCATGAGTAATTCGCCTATTTATGGAATCTCGCGCTTCAGGATATCAGGCCTTTTTGTTTGTGGGGCATCGACAAGTAGGTGGGCAGAGTGAGACTGTTTAAGACGCACGCTGTCCCCATTCAGCCAATCATTTTCTTGACAGCCACCTGGAACTAAAAGAACACATGGGTACGTACAAGGCGCAGACTGTCAACAGATGTGATCTCTCAGCCGCATAATAAGCACTTGATCGAACCGAGGCTCACCGGCGCCTCGCCACCTGGTCTTGGCTGTCGCTGTAGATTGGATATTGTCTCATACAGGAATGACTAAACAGCGAGCCATTAAGTTTCTGAGACAAACTCCGTTTAATGGGCAATAGAGGTCAAGTAGAGGCTAATCGATCGGTGTGTGTCCAATCCCTCGCAAAACCTGTTTGTAGCAGACGGGCCACTCACTTGTCCTGTCTTATTTACTGCAATGATATTTCCGGCTGCTGCTGGCTTGGGCTCAGTACCGTATGTGAACTCTGAATTGCATGCATCGTCAGCGTCACTCATTCTTCAATCCGAAACTCAAGCTAGTGCGAAACTCAGTAGAAGGAGAACGGTCTGTACACAAGAGATTTATATAGTGAAATAGGGTGAATGGGGACGGGAAGCGTTTAGTCTCAATGAATACGGGCATAACGGCGGTCAAAAGGAATTATTGAGCACTTCACTGCTGCGGTTCTGGGGTAGATACAACATTCATTCTAGTCGTCTTCTCAACTCTGTTTGAACCCTCCTTCTGGTCTGGCTCGTCCGAAGCACAACACCGCAAATCGCCGTTTCGTCTTCTTTTTTGACTTCCCGCCAACCTCGCCCCTGTCTGCCGTTACAGTTTTTTCTATCAAAATGGAGGGAAGCTTCCCCAGTCTGATCATAATGTAGGATTTGCTTCTTGCATGGCTCCTTGGAATGTAATCCAGAGCACTCAACCCACCACCCGCCCCCCCCCCGGCGAAACACTGCTGGCTGACGATGGCGGGTAGATCAAAAACGGGCGTCCCAGTCTCTCCCGTCTCAGTCGGTATCTTCACATCAGTCGCACTTAGAATGATTTATAGTTTCTTGGTTCTTCATGGATCGCCCGCTGAGAGAGGACTCAAAACCATCCTCGGCAGTCAAAGAATTGAGGTACCATTTTTAGTAATCCTGTAATCTATTATAACTCCAGTAGTTTGACTCGAATATTGTGCGAAATAGAGGACAGACAGGATAGCAGAGAGCCTCTTCACTGTGACAGTCACTCTGTGTGTACATCAGCTCCCAGTCCTTCTGCCCTTGTCTGGTTTGCCTGTTCCTACTGGTTCAGTGCTAAACGTCCCCGCGTGGGCAGACCCTCGCGTGTTGTCGACCCCTGAGGATCTCACGTAACTAGGTGGTGTGCTAATTGCCGACTCGCACGTGGGCTTGTTTGGCGAGACTGATCGGCGGGTTTACGGTTCTTTGTCAGGCGTGATCGCCGGACGACAGGAACGGTGCGTCCTGTTCCTGGCCGGCCTGACATGATCTGAGTTAAAACTTTTAAGCCATGACTGTGAATCTATGTGAATTGAATCCAGTGGAGAGCATTGGGCGCAAGACTTGGCCCAATCCTTTTGAAGATGGTGAAATTACGTTATAATGTCACCTCTCTACTGCTCACGGGGGAGAAGTAGAATGGTGTCATTTAAGTCCCATCCGGCGGAGTATAATTTTGACCATGGGGAGCATTTCCGTTGTACCCCCTTTAAGAGGGTATTACCTTTGACAGACCAAGGACACAACGTATAAGAACAGCATCCAAAAATGAGTTCAGGCCGCCTACCAAGGAGGAACAAAAGACTGCGGAGCAGAATTAGCGAAAGAGATGTCAGCTTCCTTGGCGTTAGTCATATTCTTTGTCGTTTGCGGGCAGAGTGAACCTTTTCCAGCCCTTAATTTTGTTTGTACGTAACGGAAGGTGGTCATTAATACCCTGTTTCTCATACGCTGAAAGTGGTTTAGGCGTCTGTCAATGTAATGAGCAAACTCTTTCGCTTCTTTTTAAGAAATTTCGAATTGATGTCCTACCGGCAGTTCGACCGTCGTTGCTGACGATGTCTACCATGTGCCCCGCAGCAAGGTGAGAGCAGGAACGGGGACTTTTGCGCGATGTTGCAACCTCCTCCTGTGTGAATTCCTTTAAGTGTAGACTTGATGCGCACCAAGCTTCCCAGTTACCAGCCTTACATCCACTCACATAACCTGGCACCAATTTAAACTTGTTTATACTACTTGTGAATAGTTAGTAAACGTTACTGATTACTCTTTTTTGACTAGCTGTCAGCGATTATGTACAAAAGCCCTTTTCCACCTTCCCACTTATCAATGTTTTTCTCCGACGACTTGTAACCAATAGGGAGTTCAAAGGCGCTCGCCTATATTTCCCTTAATAAACTGAAAATGAACTGAATGTAGACTTGCACAACATCTACCGCGCTCGTTCCTCCTACCCCATCTGAATCTAGGATAAAGACGAAGTCAATAAGATCGGAGGTGGGAAAGGGAGCAGGTGGATGGCACGGTCAAGTCCGCACCTTGACTCTGAATTCCACACCCCCTCGTCCACACAGAAAATGACCAGGTTTTTGATCAACAACAACAATGGGAGGGAAGGCGGTGGGGGTCCCAGTGTGCGCGATGTCTGCCGGCAACCGGGTCTGCCACCGGACGCCGAAATGTTGGAATTTTTATGAGTTGCATTCCGATAACGCCTGCCAGAGTCAGATATGGCCCCCGCGTTGGTCCGGCGTATCTACCACGTGGCCCGTTTTGGGGGGGAGACAATGTCCTACCACTAACGCATGGAACGCATGTTGGAAAGAAGATGGTTGTGAGGGTTTCTCTGATAGCCACTGACATGCATAAATATCTGACCTTCGCGACTATATTGCCATAGGTGGCAGTCCCGCCACCCTAAGATACAGGAAGGAATTTGATTATTTTTGAATTTATTGAATTTTTTAGCTTTCGACAAAGACTTTCCTGGGAAATTTTACACCATCTTCGTTTTGACCTTTACTAAAATATGGCATAAAGACTGGGCGGCCATGACTCACAAAGAATAAAATGCGTTAAGTGCAAGTGCAGCGTTGTGTGATCAAGCCAGTAAAAGGTTTGAAATGTTGATCCTATCTTGGAAGACGAGAGTGCCTTCATCTATTCCCCCTAGGATACAGTCAACAATAGGATGGTCTTAATTTAGGAGATAGCATATGTCCTTGAAATGGACTGCGTTTCGAGGACATGGTTCAGTGGCGCCCTTCATCTCACCTTCGTAGACACTCAACAAAGCTACGCGCAACTATGTTCATGCTGAATCTTCTACCCAGATCCTTTGCGCAAAGGGTGGTGGAATAGTGGAACAATCTCCGACAATCAGCTGTGGAGCGACATCCATGCAGCTCCTTAAAAACGCCCGGATGATTATATGCGCCACTTTTTTCCACCGACACTTGACCTGAACTAAATACCACGTCAAATTTAGACATTTTGTTTAAAAACAATACTGAAAAGAAGTAAACGCGATCGCTTCCACTTCTTATCAAGTAGTTCCTGGAGCTCGCATCTTCGCATGTATCGGCGCAAAAACAGTGCTACTTACATTACATGAATACTTTTTCAATGGTGGCAAATTTCAAGAAGGCATGTGCAACTGTATATAACACACCGGGGGGGGGGTAAACAGTAGGGTTTTCAAAGGCTTGGTCCATTACCCCGAAAAATAAACTACAACTCGCTCTTGCTAGCAAAGTTGTAATGATTTAGGAAGACGTAAGGACCGAAGTCCCTTGGAGCGCAAATGGATTAATCTGTGTATTAAAAATATTAACGAGGGAGGAGTGGGGATAGTGATCTGCTCTTAACAAACGATGATCACCTCGTTACCAAAAAAACTTTTTTATTGCTTACCATTCACTTCTTTTAAATCAACATGCCTCCTTTTGGGAAATCCAATCACGAACATCATGCCCTTAAAATACGGGGTGAATAATATCGACGGAATATAAAGCCTCGAGTTCAGCGCTTTATCGTTGTCCCAGTAGCCCCATATCATCTTCCATTCTTACCACCTTCAGAGAGCATTTCCCTCTCTCCAGGATGTAAACCTTTCCATTACTCCTGCACGATGAATATTAATCAGCCGCCAGGTAATTTTTGTTCCTTTGCATGTACCTATAAATCTTCAAGCATCCAACAAGGTCTGACGCTAATGTTGCTTCGTAGAATTAAGCAGAGTAGAACTCCACACTCGCAACTTGTTCGACGCAGGACTCACTGAGATGCACTGCGTCGGATACTTTTTACCAACAAGGGTCGCTTACACTGTTCTGGTCCCAAATGTAAGCGCAATGTGGACATTGAAAGTAAAGTAAGCCGAAGTGAGATGCTGAAATCGTTAGCGGGAAACTAGCCCAAGTTAAAACAGAAAAGGCAGCCTGATGTATGACAAATCAGCCATGAGATTGAAAGAAAGCCTAGAATCCTCGAAAAAGACCTGACTGACGGGACGCGCGGGGCAACAACACCTCAAACCTAACAGCAAACCTCGAAATAACCTCAAAATTAAATCTAATCCTAAAAGTAATTATTAACCTAACGTTAACCCTAAACTTAACGTTTAACCTGACCGTAAACCTATAAAAACCCTATCCCTGATCCTATGCCTAACCTGAACTCTGACCCAAATCCTAACCCTAACCCTTTCCCTAAGCCAAATCCTAACTTCGGCCGTAATCCAAACCCAAATCTTAACCCTGACCGCAACCCTAACCCCAACCTTAACACTTAACGCGAACCTAAACCACAATCCGAACCCTAACTCTAACCGGCCCTCTTAGACTTGAAAAACCCTAACCCTAAACTCAGTTCTCAGCCTGACACTACCACAGACCCTGAAACTGACCCTACCTCTAATCCGAAACATCTGATTGCCCTTCTCCGTTTTAGCTTAAACTACTTTCCCACTAACGATTTTAGCATCCTCCTTCGGCCTACGTCACTTGCAGTGCCAACATCGCGCTTACACTTGGGACCAGGACAGTGTAACCGACCTCTGTGATCTCGCCATCCAAGTTAATTCGTCCGCCGCAGGTGACGATGTCCATCACGAGCGCGGCAGAGTTCGCGCAACACCGGTGACTTGCGCAGCATCTACCGCACTCACCCCGCCCACCCTGCTCTGGTTGAATAGCAGCGTCAAGACGAACGGAATTGGGCTCGGGCGACAAATTTTAGCAGTGCGTCTGCGAGTACCACACGCGATCCGATCCCCAATACTGATAAAAGACCTGAATACCACTTGCTTGAGAGTGGCATAAAAAAACACGTTAAAAAAGGTCCATCGGACATGAATCTCACTCCTCCAATCGGGCACTGCACATACAAGCATCAGTGACAACGAGGATCGAGCTATCCCGTCATATGGTAGATCTCCAAGCCACGACTTCTAGCACACCGTGTTGGATGCAAGCACGTCAAACTTATTTCTAGTGGGAATTGCGCTGTTGAGTCAAGGGGATGAATTCCCCAGAGTCCGTCTCATTCTCTCCTCTCTTTCCCTCACGCACCAGTCGCATCAGTTTGACTGATGCCTAAACACACCTCGAGCGACGATCCTCAATATGGTCGCCGGCCTTCGCCCACTCCTTCACACTCGCATGTGTTCTACTTCTGTCCGATAGATCCCAGACCTCTTTGTGTCCCATCTTTGACTGGGAAATTGTCCAAGTTGTTGCTCTTTAATTTCCTTAGAAATTAACTGCGAACTTGGAGTAGAGCAGTGTATTGTAGGTCTATAAGCGCAGACCGAAGTTTTGTTATGAACATTTTAGCCGAAGTTCATCAGCCATAGCAGCTAGCAGCGTAATATTCATTGACCGCCGACAGGCAGCTAGGGTAAGGGGATACCATAATAACAACACAGGTAGCAGATAAAGGCCAATACACGCGTGTTTCGCCGATATTCTGCCACTGCGTGTCACAGCTGTGAGGGCTTCGGCTCATCAGTGGGTCCCCCAGCATTTGCGGCTGCTTTCTGGTAGATACTGCAATTTAGAAATTATTGCTTTTTAATTTCCTCAAAAATCAACTGCAGACTTTGAGTAGACCGGTATATCATAGGTCTATGGGCTCAGACCAAAGTTTTATGTATGAATATTTAAGCCGAAGTCCATCAGTTTTGGCTAGTACCTGCGCTGTTAGTATGGTATCCTCTTACCCTAAAACACTTCAAGGTTCTTTGCAGCTCGCCCTCAACATAACCAGTCTCTCTCTGATATATATGTAATACTGTTTTGCCTTAAATTGCTGTTCGACTATGACCCATATGGGATCATTTTAACGTACCTACTGGAGGTTGAAGTGTGCTGCCTTCAAAGTCCACGGCTAATGTCTCCTTTGCGGCATTTCCAAAGGCCTCAAGATCCCGTGATTTGAAAAGCCGAATCATAGAAGGGTTTTTCTACAGCTAAACCATGCAGGTTCACAACGTAAATAAACGGGAAGTTAACCAAGGCCATCGAATAAAATGTGAAACGACCCAGCAACGGGGGGCTTGGGCGTGAGTTAGTGCGTAGTAGGGTGGACTTGCACAGCACATATCGCACTCCCTCCTCCCTCTTCCGCCTGGCTCCGATGGCAAAAAATAAGGATGACTGGAGGTGGGCTCAGGGACAACGACTCGCATAGTTGTAGGGTTGGTCTACACGCTCACGCGCAAGTGGGTACTGCAGCCTTGCCCTCAGTCCTCCAGCCATTCCAAAATGCGTCCATGCGGATCTAATTATGGCAACCCTCCACACCGCGCATCTCGCTTGAGTTGAACGGCATGCGGTACTCCGGCCTGTTAGGACGGGGTCCCGAGGCGGCGCCGGCGACAGCCCCGGATTACGACTGTCGAGAGATAGGTGCGTCATGATTTACCCTGTACATTCTCTTCCTCCTTCCCTTTCCCCGTCCCTGACACACGAACTTACTACTCAAACACTTTTGTGATGTTTTACCCTGTCAGAAGAATAAAGTCCCTCGTTTCAGTGGTGTTGTTTGATTATCGCTGTCGCACTTAGTGGAAACGGACTGATAGTATAGGGCATACCCGATCGGCAGCACTGCGGACTTTGTAGAGGACGCTTTATGGTCGCGCGTCCTGCAGCAATAGTCATTCTCTGTCGTATAATTATTTGAAAATTTCAGGCCTAACCGCCGCAGGCGGTGACTTCTACTACTGCTACAGAATGTGGACCTAGTAGTGGTGACTTATGAACGACTTAACTTATGGCGGGACGGACTTGCAACGCATTTACCACACTAGCTCCTCCCTCGCACACTTTGTTTCGATGGCAAGACAATGTTAAGACGGTCGAAGATAGGCTCGGACGCAGTAGCTAGCGAAGTCAAACAGTCCGCCCAAGATGGCAACCCAAGGCCAGGTCCCTACAGCTTCTGTGAGAACAGCTCGGAGCTTAAACAGCCCATCTGCGTGTGTTACACACTTGACCTGTTCCCAGCTGCATGTCCCATGCTGATCTGAGAGCCGCTTGGACTCCACATAAGTGAAAGTCCCCGTAAGGCCCACATTAAGGAGGGGCCGATGCAATCCTTCAGCCATTCTAAAATGCTCCTATGAGAATCGAGGTAGTCCGTCAGTTGGCAACCGTCCAAACCACGAATCTTAGGATCCCTTGATAGATTCGAGCGCGTCAGATCTGATAAAGTGAGAAAAGCACTGGTGTGTCGCAGGCATGGGTTCCCACTGTTAGCTTTACCTACATGAATGAAGGCAAATGTTCGAGTTCCAGGTGTTCGTATAAGTGAAAAAGAAGGATAATCGAGGGCCGGAACATTTTGCCTATTGTTCTGAGCTTCAAACTCGTGCAGGAGTCCATCAGCAGAGGTAGTAGCAACGATAGAACAAGGGACGGTTATAAGGTATGTGGGCCACTCATACAGCGACGGCGTAAGACTGGAGGTGACTGCGCAGGGTTCTGTATGCTGGCGCCAGATCGATAAATCGATTGGCTAGGTTCTCATCCGAGGCCCAGGCTTCAATCGAATCTCGACCTGTTTTGTTTCCGGCGTGGACGACTATTTCAGTGGCTGCGAGGTTAAACTCGTGTTCCATTTCGTAGGTGCGGGCGACAACTTATGTTAGTGTGCCGCCTCGTCGCACAGCCAGCTTATGTCCATGTATGCGCTATCCGAGATTGCCCCCGAGCTCGCATTTTTGGCCCGGGAATGGAATACACTACTCCAGATTTCTCCTCAGACTTTAACCGGTCTTTGATTTTCCTGACCTTACTTCGCATGGTGGTTTTGGGGCGGTATGCAATTCCAACACTTAGCTCCGCAGAAGGGCGCTCGGTTGCTTCTGAGACGTCTTTGATGTATGGCACAAAATTCCATACCGTTGGCTCCGACATAGAGACCCCTGCGCAGTCAACTTCAGTCTTGCGCCGTCGGCCGATGATTGGTTTACACACCTCATAACTGTGCCTTGTTTTGTTGCTGTTACTACCTCTGACAACGGACTCCTGCACGAGCTCGAACACTCCGGTTCCGGTTCTCAGTCATCCTTCTTCTTCACCTTACCTACATATATATCTCACTCGAACAGCCGATTTCCTACATGACAAAATCGCAACTCCGAAAGGATGATTGTGCCTAGCCCGGAAGCGGATAATGTGGTCAAAAAGCTGTAATTGGCCAGCCGCGGAAAAAGACATGAACGTAGGTAGTGAGTTTATCTGAAGAAAGTAGTATACACCGCCACAAGAAAAAAGCACGTGGACGAGACAGATCTGGGGAAAAGTTGACTGAGCAATAGGAAGCGCCTCCAGTAGTAAAAGAACAAAATTATCACAAATGGCTTTTCCTGGAATGAAAATCTTCGTCAAGGTGGAATGTCAACGTTTAGGTAGGTGTTGGCTTTTCGACGCAGGAGTTTTGTGGAGAGCATATTCAAGAGGACGAACACAACAGGTTTAGCTCCTCCCGGAAGATCAAGTTCCTAGCGAGAGACAAGAAGGAGTAGAGGGGGAGGGGCGAAAAAACGAACGATGCAATTTTGGCCACATACAACTGAATTCAAATAAGCTACCTGTTCACCGTCTTTGCCAAAGTTCAGCCACAGGATTGAACAGCCGTCATCCGCAGTGGAACGAAGGCGTTCGAAGGGGAAGGACCAGAAGACCGTCGACGGCGAATGGCTTATCAGCTGACTGAAGGTCCAATGGTCCGCGCTATTGTCTACTGTGTGGGCCTCCGGCGTGAACACCCCAGCCGCCGGTACAAGGGTTAGACCGTAGTCCTGATGCAGCAGCAGTCTCGCCTCCAGGCTGCGCCAACGGCACGCGATTGACAGATGAGAAGTGGAAGTGAGCAGTTTCTGCGCGCCATTCACAATCTCCCGCAACCAGGTCTCCAGATCAGAGGCTGTCATGACAGCAAATGTGTGTGACTCAACGCCCAGTTTTTTACCTTGTTGGGGAAAACAAAACGCATGGAGTCAGTAACACGGTGTATTCCCAAACAGGCAACAAAGCTACTTTGTTCCGAGTATCAGCAATCAGACACCACAACTTATATTAGCAAAGTTGGGAATTCTGGCGTGATAATTTGAGAGGGTGTATTGCCTCGCCGGATCAGATTTACTCGATTGCTGAAAGTTCGGAGAACTTTGGTGGGCTCACCGTTGTCTAACAGTTGAATGTACAAGACAGGGTAAAAATTCAAATTAATCGCCGAGTTCTTCGGTCTTGAGATAATAAAATTTCTTCCTCTGCCGATGGTCCGACCCTTTAACAAATATCTGGAGGTTTTAACGCCTTCTTGCGCTATAAGTTATCAGCCGGGTAGAGAATGGCTGAGACTCCGAAGGCGTCGCTCGGTCTGGTAGGTGGGTTCGCCATTGAAAAAGTCAACTCAGTCTTTATAAGTCTACTGTGACCGTCTGGCTATGACGTCTTTGTAGGTAGTTTCGCAGGACCTCGTAATCCGGGGGAAGGTTAAAATGCCCGTCGGTTGGATCGACATCTGGAAACGACGAGTTAGTTGTGAGTCACTCTAACTTAAGGCCACCTCGGATTAAGATGGTTACGCTTGAAGAAGAAGCTCATAAGCCAACAGTTCAACCATCTTCCGCAGGTGCTCAGCCATCCCCCGTCGAGGTGATGATTAGCGAAACAGATAGTTTTCAAAAGTACAGACATTAGCCCACTGAAAAACGAAAAAATCGATCGGCCCAGGGCCGAACAGCCCGGCGGGGCGTTTGTATTTCTATCCAACTTTGTGTAATTGACATTTTGATAATGTTGAAGCAAACAAGCTTCGCGAAACGTCATCAAGCAAATTAATCTCTTTCGGTGGGCACTATTATCTTGTAGTTGAGGTTTGACAGTTGGATTTTGACCAACTCTTTATCCTTTAAAAAGGCAGAGAAATCGGCGAATCGGTGAGTCAAAGATAACTTATTTTGCCACCTTAATCTAAGACCGTATTTCCACATAAACCTTGTTTTACTCGTCTGTTCTATTCATCCTTCTTGTTCCGTTTTAATTTAAATTTTGTCCCATAAACCAAACCGGCTGAGCACTCTCAACGCACAGGAGAGGTTTTAGTGAAGTTGGCAGCGAGGAGGGACGACAGAAAATGCGGTAGGTTGATTGATACTCGCATCCTCTGTCTTCCCTCCTCGTCGTTATCATGAATTTGTCGACTTCGGCTGACCCCCATCACCCGTATAAAGGTTTTTTGCTTCGGGAAGCCAATAGATCGGTGGGCGCCCATTCCTAATTGAATAAATACCTCATCTTTAGCGACAGAAAATAAAAAGTGACGACGCACGGATGAAATTCGGTTCGATTAAGTACTTATGACGCCAATAGGCAATCAGCTGCGCCAGATGTGTCTGAGCGTATGGTTTTGTTTCTGGCCTGAAAGCGTGTACTATGCAAGTACCAGCAAACCATGGCCCTCGCAGCCTGGTTTGCGCTAGAAGCTCCCCTTAACCTGGTTCCCTGCCGGTAGATGCGTTTGCGCTCCCGCTGGTTACACAGGCGGTAAGCGTCGCTGTCCAGTCATCCTCGTCGCTCTGGCACCTGTTGGGGTGTTATTGTTGTTGTTGGCGAGAAATTCTGGTTATTTGCTGTGTGGACCAGGGGTATGGTGGCACACCTAGATGCAGCTCCGGCCGTGCCAGTCACCTGTGCCCTCCCCCACCTCCGATCTTCTTGAATCTGTCTTGACACCGGGTTCAGGTGGGGGGTGGGAAGGAGGGGGTGCGATAGATGCTTCGAAAGTTTACTATCATTTTAGGCTAATTCACACGCAAGTCACAGTCCCTGCTTCACCTTGCTGTGCAGCACATGGTAGTCATCGTCGAAACTGACGGTCGAACTCTCGTTTCTGGTCTCAGCTGCTGGTCAGGGTTAAGATTGCCTGAATGAAGGCACGCTACGTTCGAACCAGTACTGTGCCAATCTAACCGCGTGCTCTGTCGTTCCTCTTCGGTGTATATATATGGTATATATATGAATGAAGTATGTTGGGAAGATGAGATTCTCTGAGAAACTGTAACTTCTAATGTGTAGCTTTTTAACATTGATCCTCCAGACCGCCTTTCAGCTTTGGGTGTACAGGAACGTTAAATTCCCAAATGTGTCTAAAAACGGTTTCTTTGATTGGTCAACGTCTGTTTCAATATCCGTTAATTGCATTTCTTCTGCTCTTCAGGATTTATTGCACAATTTGACTTTTTCCTTAACGAGTTTGTATACGGCATCTAGATCAATGTGCCGATTAATGCATGCCTCATCTGAGTGCATTGCCTCCAGTAATTCGAGAACCTTTGTTATTGGGCAGGCGTCAACCATGCGAGGGTTTTCCCATGCAAATTTATGCCCAGTGTCCAATGTGTTCATGGCCTTTTGGGATAGATCGTCGCGTGTCATCACCTCTAACTGATGTTTATGTTTACGAGTTGAGACAGACTTTCCAGTTTGGCCACAATAGACGGTACCGCAACTGGAACATGGGATTTTGTAGACAAGACAGTTTCTATCTAGGTAGTTAGCCCTGCATTTAGGATGTGCTAGCAGTATGCGCAAGGCGGTTGCCAACTAGTGTAATACGTATATCTGGAGTTTTTAAGTTGCCTTTCGAAAATTTACACAATAGAAGTTGCAGTTCCCAAAAGAATTTCACCTTCCCAATAAAATTTCTTCGGATGCCCATTTTTTAATTTGTATGGTGTATAAATGTGTTTGTAGGGATGTTTCTGATGATGGGATTTGATCTGCGGCTGTGTACAGCAGATTTTAGTGGAGATGCATGTACTTAAGAGCGTTCATGCCGTGGTCGAATGTGTCCAGACAGTGCTGGCAGTTGACGCGGGTGTATGTGGGGCAGACGCAGTTATAATAGCTGCTTATTTTAGCATGTGTGCGAGTACGCAATAGCCCCAAGCTATAAATACTTATCCGCCACCCTACACTCCCCCCTCCAATCCCCGCCTCTGCTGTCTTGCTCGCGAGCAGATCTGAGAAACCAGGCGAAAAGGGCTCTTGTCTCAGCTCGGGAGTTGCCTTCTCTCACTTCCTCTTTATCATCTTCTTCTTCTCGCACTGCTCCTTTCAAGTATGTCGGCAGCAGTGTCACTTTTGTGAATCGACAAAACAGATGCCGCTTTAGAAACACCCGGCACGTCTGAACAGTAGAGTTGGAATATAGCGGGGGGCGGAATTCAGGGAGGAGGATTAAAGGAATGACTAAAAAAGCTGGGTGCTGTTAGGATCCAGTATCGCACAATTATTTGGCGTCCGCTACAGTCTTAGTTAGGTAAGAGTCAGTGTGGGTTTCCAGAAAGCTTCCTAAAGATCTCCTCTTGGAGAAGTCGGTTTCGAATTGATTCCTGTTGTGAGTATTGAATTCCTGCAACATTGAACTCGAAAGGATCACTACCTATCAGCAGCACAGTCGGTCGCGGGCTGTCCAGATAGTCTGGAGTTAGTCTCAGCAGTTTTCCTCATAAAAGGTGCTATTTTTAAAAAAAATGGGAGACAGGGTCGCTGAAACAAGAAATTGCTTCGTCTGACGTTTTGGATTCAAATTCGAGTCCATCATTAGAAACATCTGCCTCCTCTTCTCGGGTGCTTCTTAAGGCTCACCTTTTCATTTCTGTCAATATCTATTTTAGTTTTAATTACTCAAAATGTCTATTTTTTGATGCAATTGTACTCCCACGTGTCAAAAAGTGATTACTTTCGAGTAGATATGTGACTCCGTGTAACGTTAAATTTATCAATCTTGAGAAACCAACGCCGATGCTAGCAGTTCTATGAGCCAGTGAGGGAATGTAACTCAAACAAAACTGGGAGAGTCAATCACAGACGCACCCCTCTTCCTACTATATTTTGAAACAACAGAGACTGCATTGTTGGAACAAACTCGCTAACATCTGAATAATCATAGGGAATTTAACGCCGCCTCAATACTCCATGGGGAAAATTAATATTAAATGCATATTTTAAGGGGGAGTTACATTCTACGAAGCAAAACGCTCCACAATGTCAGGGTAATTCTAGAAACCAATGTGAATCTGGAAAACTCAAAAAAATTTTCCCGTTTTCTTTTATTTTGGCTGTGGGATGAATCGCGTAGCATATTTTAAAATCAACGCATTTTTGGAAAATTTAGAAAGCCATCGGGTCGTCAAACAGCATTCGTTGGCCTCTTTTACGAAATGTCAACTGAAATTTTAAAATATGTTTTTTAAAAACGGACTAATTAGATGGGACTTAAATATTTATCATCATACAGCCTGACCTTTAAATAAGATTATTGTCGACCGCCTATATACAAAACACTGGGTGAAAGTAGTTACCTATTCCCATTGATTTTTGATGCCGCGACATGTCCAAATATATTTTATAGAAAATAGGCAAAAACGTTTTCTTCTTGCACCAGTCTGGTAGCGAATTACGTCTTTTCTACATTTTTACTCGGAATAGATTCGTTTTTGGCCTGAGAAAAACTTTTCCGATTTCCGTGAAATTTTTAACTCGTCCAGCAATTATGTTCGCACCTAGAGGTTTCCAGGCTGTGTATTGCATACATTAAATTCGAAGATGGATTTATTACGAAATCGGCAGCCAACGGGAGAAATAATACTACTTAAGTAGTCCTTTTATACCGAATATGATTTTAGCAAGCGGCATCCAGGCGAGATTGAAGCGTCTTGGGATTATATTGCACGAGTAATCCCTTCTAACCGAAAACACATTTTGCAATTCCAGTGTAGACATTATGAGATCAGCCAGCTACTATACTTCACTGATCCACTGTAAAAAGAACTGCAGGTGTGTAGAGGTCACAGACGATGGGCTTTATGCTACTTACATCATAACTGGCACTAGCAATAACCAAAACGCTCAAAGCCAGCGT